CACCTTCAGAGAACAAAGTTGCAGAACTCACTCTTCCCAATTTCAAAAATTACTACAAATCTATAGTAACCAAGACTGTGCCATACTGGCATAAGGACAGACATATAAGTCAATGGATTAGAATTGAAAATCTGGTAGTAAATCGTCATATTTACAGTCAATGATTTTCGACAATGGCACCAAGCCAATTCTACGAGGAAGGAATATTTTCAACAAATGATGCTGAGACAACTGGACGTCCACATGCGAAAGAATGAAGGTGAAACTCCTTTCTCAGCTATACACAAATATTAATGCAAAATAAGCCATAAACCTAAATGCAACAGCTGAAACTACAAAACTGTAGAGAAAATATAGGCACAAACCATGATGACCTGGGGTGAGGCAAAGAATTCTTAGATGTGACACCAAAAACACCAAGTGACATAAGAAAAAATAAACTTGACTTCATTGATATTCAAAACTTTGTGCTTCAATGGATAGTAACAAAAAAGTGAAAAGACAACCCACAGAATGGAAGGAATATTTGCAAATCACATTATCTGACAAGGGAGCTGTATCTCGAATATATAAAGAACTCTGACAAGTCAACAGTAAAAACACAAGCAACCCAATTTAAAAATGGGCACTATGTCTGAACATTTTCCAAAGAAGATACAAAAATGGTGGCTAATAAGCACATGAAAAGGGGCTAATCATTATTAGCCATAAGGAAATGCAAATCAAAGCCACAATGAGATACTACTTCCCACCCACTAGAATGGCTATAATATTTGGGATTGGGGGGGGGGGAGACCTATTAATTAAATTGACAAAAGACAGATTAGCAAGAGAAAACATGGACTTTTATTCACAAACCTATGCAGGAGTTCACAGAAAAATGAGAATCAAGGAGGAGGTTAGAATGTGGGACTTTTATACCATCTTAGGGGAAGTGGAGGAAGAATGGCTATAATTTTTTAAAAAAGTGTTGACAAAGATGTGTTGAAATTGTTAACACTCATACACTGTTGGTGGGAATATAAATGGTACAAGCACTTTGGAAAACAGTCTGACAGTTCCTCAAGAAGCTGAATCCAAGAGTAACTATCCGACCCAGCAATTTTACTCCTGTACATACATGTACCCCAGAAAAATGAAAACATATGTCCATGCAAAAACTTGTAAACAAAAATGTTCACAGTAACATTATTCATAATAACCAAAAGAAGAAACAAATATCCATCAACTAAGGAATGGACAAATTGTGGTACATCCATACTGTGAACTAAAATAAAATTTAAAGACTCACCCCCCATCAGCTGACTAAATGGACCCCCTCATGGCCAAAGGATTATCCTAAAACTAAATTGCCTGCCAGGAGAAAGGAGGTCAGACATGCCTTATCATGCCCCCCTCCCTTCTTGGGGACATCCTTTATAACCCATTAACAGGCCTAAGGGCATGCAAGACAAACCTGCAGATGGCTTATCTCTGATAAACAGCTCCTTATGTTGAAACATTCCAAGCCTTTAGACAAAGCTTCATGTCTTTAATCAATTACAAGCCAAAGAATCCTTAAACCCACCTATAACCTGTAAGACCCCGCTTCCAGATGGCCCACCTTTTTGGGCCAAACCAATGTATGTCTCCCACGTATTGATTTATGTCTTTACCTGTAACCCCTGTCTCCTTGAAACGTATAAAACCAAACTGTAACCCAACCTCAGCGAGTCCACTGCTCAAGACCTTTTGGGCATGGCTCCGGGTCAGGGTCCTCAAATTTGGATCAGAGTAAATCTCTTTAAAATTATTTTACAGAGTTTGGTCTTTTTTCCGTTGACAATACAACGTAACATTATTCATCAATAAAACGAAATGAAGTATTGATACATGCTAAGACATGGATCAACCTTAAAAACAATATGCTAAGTGAAATCATAAAAGACCAGAAACGGAATGATTCTCTGTATACGGCATGTCCAAATTGGGCAACTCTATAAAGACAAAAGGTAGATTAGTGGTTGTGTAAGCCATAGAGGGAAAAATAGGGAATGATCGCTAATGAGTACAGGATTTCTTTTTGGAGTGGCAAAAATGTCCTAATATTGATTTTTGTGATAGTTGCACTCTGTGAACAGACTACAAACCACTGAATTATATACCCTTTTGGTGGGTGCATATTAGTGTAGTGTGAATTATGTCTCAAAGTGTTACGTACAAATAAATTGTGGGACGTAGTGAAAGCAGTGCTATGCACTAAGAGCAGGAAAGGAGAAAAGCCTCCCATCAATAATCCAAGCTCCTGCCTCAAGAACCTAGAAAAATTTGAGCAAAAAAACCCTACAGCAAGAAGGGAGGAAGGAAGGAAATAATAAGGATGAGAGCAGAAATCAACAAAACTGAAAACAGAAAAATAGAGAAAGTCAATGAAACAAAGAGCTGGCTCTTTGAAAAGATCAATACAACTGACAAAGTTCTAGTAAGACTGACAGAGACAGGCCACAAATTATCAACATCAGGAATGAAACAGGAGCTGTCACTATAGACAATGTAGGTAGGTATCGAAGGAACAAGGGAATCCTCCCCACAACTCTGCACACATAATCTTAACCAACTCTGACAAAATGGACTCGATCTATGAAAAACACAAATTACTACAACTCACTCGATATGAAATAGATAATCTGAACAGCCCTATGCTTTAAGGAAAATGAATTCAAAATTTTAAAAGTCCCCAAAAGAATCTCCAGGCCCAAATGGTTTCACTGGAGATTTCTCGCAGATGTTTATAAAGAATTAACACTAACTCCCCACGGTCTCTCCAGAAAACAGAAGAGGAGGGACTACCTCCTACTTCATTGATACCAAAACCAGACAGAGACAGCACATAAAAAGAAAACTACAGACCAATATCCTTCATAAATACACAAAACTCCTTAAAAAAAATTAAAAGATTTTAGTAACATATAAAAATCATTATATACCATGACTAAGTGGGGTTTATTCTAGGGATGCAAGGCAGGTTCAATATTTAAAATGAATAAATGTTATCCATCATACTAATAGACTAAAAAAGAAATACCTCATGATAATGTCAATTGATGCAGAAA